GGCTGCAGCTAAAGAGGTACTAATTAGTCCGTGTCAGCATACAGCAAAAGCGTGTGCAAGGGCGTATCTAAGAGACGCTGCTTCTCCGCAAATGCAGCAATGCTCGGTTCCTCAGCTAAGTGTTGATGAGAAGGTTAGACTGCCCGTCTGTACATCACTCCATTTAAAACAAATAAAGGCTACGCGAGTCAGAACATGAAGAACAGAAAACAGGCCCATAAACTATTTTATTAAATCATCACCCATTGACTGGACGAGATTCTCAGAGTAAACAGCTCTCGTTCCCACAGCATCAACATGTAATAAAGGCGTACAGCGCTGCTGTTTCACAACATTGACGTTCTTCCCACTGTCATTTTGCACAAGAATTCCTGTGCAATAAAATATTTGAGACTTCTAATTGATGTATTAACAGCTTCCTATAAAAACAGGAGAAAAATGGCTATGCACAGAAGCCTGCCTTCCCTCTTGTTGATTCACCATATAGTTTAAACTTAATAAAACTTAATTGCATAAAAGATCGCATACCGCTTTTAAGGCTGGATTGGGATATCTGGGCTTATTGCCATACCTGGAAATACACTAGCGTCTACAACTTAATTTATGCGACATAGGATAAATACTATGAAATCAAATACATCTCAGTTATGTGCAATTGTGCTTATTCTAAGTCCAGCTCCAGCTCTAGGTTTGGCAGTGCCCGCTGAAGGACGTCAACAGTAGTTTCTTTCTCTCTTATTCCAGGAAGGTCACTCAGATACAAATATTCAAGGTTCCTATAAATATTTAAAAAGAAAAGTCAGCAAATACTATTTAACTGTTGATGCAGAAATTAGACAAAGGATTATTCTACCATAGTTATTTTTAGTATTTTAAAAGGTTACTGGTTCTAACATAAGTTTTTTTCTGAAGTGGGAGCTTAAAGTTTTTAGCTCACTGTAAGTTCAGTCCTTCTACATAGCTTAAAAAGAGATCCTGGACCCCCCACATCATGAAGCTTCCTTTATATTAAATAGTATTTAATAACTTCAAAAGCAATTTAGTAAAAGTTATTTTAATGTAAATAATAATTAGAGTAATATAGAAAGTCCTTGATAATAACTTTCTGTAGGATGAAATCAAAGTCACCGCATCACCCATTTGTAGATATCTATTAACTCCGTGTAATACTAAACAGTTCCGAATTACTTTAAGGCCCTGGTCCACTAAAGCACCTACGGATAGTGCGCAGTATCCAACCCATACTGCTTCCCATGCCTGAGTGCTAGGAAACGCAGCTCTGCCCCAAGACCTTTCAAGCTACAGTGAGCACGAGATAACCGAGCGATAGGAAGCAGTGTGAGGTGTAGAAAGACAATAAAAGTTACAGAACGCTGTCAAAGCCTGCCCTGAAAAGGAACTACAGCAGGAGTAGAAACCGAGGTGATCATTAATTACTTATTCTCAAGCAAAACCCACCTCGTGTGCTAACGTGAAAGGAAGCTGTACGCATTCATGGCTCTTGCAAAGGTTGTGTCGGCAGAGAGCACGTTGTCCTGCTCTAATTTGTGCAGCCATCAACATTGCCTAAGTTACTTCAGGTGTAAATGGGAGATACTGTGCTCAACTCTGAAGGCAGAAGCGCAACTATGGATTGACGTACTGCAGCGGCTGATTCTGGCTTTCTCAGCTGCAGGCCTCAGTGCTACACAGCTCCCTGACACCAGCCTTAAAAGGCTGGTTAATATGTGTATGTTAATCCACGTCTCTTCAGAGCTATCCACAGCGCTGTCTTCAACCACGCTTGAAGAAACACTTCCTGCAGTGGCAGTGCCATCCCTCCCTGGCTGTCATTCAGGTCAGTCCCCAAACCCAGCCACCCCACAGCCCCACGCACGTCTGAAACAGCCCAGAAGCATTCAGACTTTAGCCCTTCAGTCAACACAACCCCAAAACCGCGGGGTGGTAACAGCTAGAGAGCAAGAAGACCTCAGCAGCTCACGTACGTCAGCTTGTGAAGTGCAATGATGCCTTTATCTGTGACATTCCCGCAGGAAATTATCTTCAGCTGGAGAAGACTCTTCTGTAGATTCTTCGTCTCGCTGAGCCTCTGCAGACACTCGTCCTGTATGTAAATACACTTCTGGAGCTTGATTTCTGTAACGTGTTCAAGACCATCTGGAAAGACAAAAATGAGTACTTGCTTCAGAAACCAGGAACAACCCGTACTTGTGAAGTTCTCACTCGCTAATTTAGTTACTGCCTCCAAAACCACACAGCAACATGCTCCTCTATACAGTGAGGCCATCACGCACAATGAAGCTCCCAAGTCCCTTTATTGGACTTCAAATATATGAAAACCCCAGGGTTTGTATCCTTTCGGTAAGATTCTAGGAGCTTTGACATGGGCAAGTAGCAAAAAAAGCTCTACAAGTTTGGGAGATAAACAATGACTCTGAATTAGGAACGTGATAATGCAGGAAATTCCACATCCCCTGCCAATAAAAAAATAAAATGGTCTGTTCCCCATTTTGGTTTTTGTTATTTAAAGGAGACCTGAAACAATCTCTTTTTCATTTTGTAAAAAACGGAGAGCTTGCTGCTTCTTTTTTTGTCTTTGAAGACATCATAAATGCCTGGAGAACAAGCCGTATGATGACTTCACAGACACCAAAAACATCACTTGGTTTAGAAGAAAAAGAATATTTAAAGTAGTGCTTTTTGCTACCAACTACTTAACTATGAACTTAATGAAATAGCAAATCTTTGTTGCACTTCCTTAGTGCTACTGTCACTTCAGGTAAGGGCTGATGAAGTTCCCCATCTCTTTCTGCTTCACACCACACCTCCAGCAAAATCTTAGGAGCTGCTGAATATTTGTAGAGCCATTTTAGGGAAAAAGCAAAAAAAAATTCAAAAGATTTCTCTATATTTTACTAAGGAATGAGAAAATGACCTGGTTATTCATATTTTGATGCAACTCAGAAAGAACTAAGACCATTCAGTATAATCTTTGCACAGCTGTGGCCACATTACCCAAATAGTCAAATCCTCTGTACATGATGCAAGAGTCGGTGGCATTAATTGCCTCTATCTTGTATTTCCCCAAGGGCCCTGTTGGGAGACCATTGTAGTCCTGCTGCCATTTCTGATAGCCTTGATAGCGCACCAGGGCACCGCATCGCAACAGCCATTCTGAAGCTGCCCTGTCAGGGCCAACGGCTTGTATACGTTCGTAGTCCACTCTGCCAAGACAGAAAGAGCATTCATACGGTTTCTATAATGTGGTAGATTTATTGTCTTTACGGTAATACTACTGCACAACAAATATTTGGGTATGTGCATGATAAGATGTCAGAAAAGTGAGAATATGATTTACTGGAAATGGTTTATGTATAATCATTTGGATTGTGCTGGTTCTTAATCAGTCTGGCATACGTTTTTTTTAAACTTGTTTTAAATGGCAGTTACTTTTGGTAAAAAAAGAAAGAATACAAATGCAACTTGACTTGGCATGTGTTCACCCTTGTAACTGATTGTTTCCTTCCATGTCTGCAAGGAGAGATAAAAAACGCCTTTCTCTACCCAGCGTAAGGCTTTACAACAATTGCAAATTTGTCCCCCAAACATATTTTGTTTATATAAAAACTGAACATTGCCTGTCACCTGTATGTTGTTCCTGAAGCCGCCTTCTCAACAATTACAGTATTTCAAAAAGACCCACTTCAGCAATTAGTTAAAATCCCTGGATCCATTCAGGTAAAGGCTATCTTAGTCTCCTGAGCAATGCTGAAGACAGAAGCAGAGCCCTGGAAGAGATTCTTGTCTGGTTGAGCTTCCCGCCCCGTTACAGCAATCAGCTACACCATGCAACCCTTTCCATAGAACTAGAAGACATAAGGCAAAACTATTAGCAACTGGCAAAAGTTATGGGCAGAGAAAGTTTCGCAGAGAAATTTTCACAGAGAAAGGCATTATCTTTCTAAAAGTAAATGTGAAACCCTTGTGTGGCTGAATCACATTGTAAATGATGGGTTGGTTAGATGCTTTTCTGAATAAGTAAAGGGGGCATGGTTGTGCTACTGGCTTAAATGCAGTCGGGGGTCAAAGACGACCAGCATTTAGGGAAATAATCCACATCGCCAGCTTGCCTCGGCCACCCCATGGAAGGGAGCAAAGCACACACCTTCCTCTGGAAGGCCACAGCTTTGTAACTGGAAACAGGTAATGAACGACCCCTGCCAAGTACCCCCATGCAATCTGGGGTGAAAGAAGAGCACTGATAATAGAAAATGTTCTCTCTAGTCCTGGGACTTAATGCTCCCTGCTTCACAAACCGCGCAGTGGATACGTGGGACCTGTTAATTGACTTGTGCACACCGAATCACTCTTACTTGTTGAACACGGCATTCAGCCATCCCCAGAAGTGTCTGCAGGCGCCCGGCGGCGGCAGCTTGCTTTGGCTGCACACCGGCTGCACGAGTTTTCCCAACAGCATCATGTTCTTGAAGAAAAGGAGAGAGGGGAAACGGAGATGTTATTCAGAGTGTCAGCGCCAGCACCCGAAGCCGCAGAACGGGCGGCCCGTACCCGGCTTCCCCTCAAGGCCTAACCAGGTCTGTCAGCCCA